TCTGAAGCATATAGAGTGACAGTAAGAGTCCTTATTCAAATATTAGAAGATGATCCCTGATTACTCCTCTAATTTCTTCACTGTTTAGCACAGTGGCTGTGAGATGGCCTGTCTAAGGCCATCATAGCTCCCCTGTCCTGAGCTAAGCAAAGTGCTATTTACTGTAGCTGCTACTGCCACCCCGGCAGGAAAAGCTAGCAGATTGTCCTGAGGATCCTGCATTAGGGGCAAGCTATCTGATAGGCAAAAGGTCCTCTGTGAATGACAGAGCCATCTACTGTAGTATCAGGCTCTCCTGTCTCATCTCTGAGATAAGCCACACTGTAGCCCCCACCATGGGAAATACTCAAATTGTAAAGTGTGGGGAACTATTTGGGATTGCTTTTGTTCCTGAGTTTAAAAATTCTTGTTAACATTCATGTGTTATTCTGTATATAGGGAGATTGGGCTTTATTTTGATGAGAAAGTTATAGGAAAGCATAAAATGTTATTCCGTTGGAGGAAAAGTGATTTTTTGTCTAGGCTACAATTTTGTGAGATTGCTTCAGAGTGTAGATTTAGGGAAAGAAATGTATAAGATGTAAGAAAAGATGGACATAAAGAGATAACGTTTTGGGATAAGAAAAAACTTTGTGTGATGAGATTTTGCTCTCAAAACCAGAAGGTTTAACTAAGTTGCAGAAAGTTTGCAAGGAATAAAGCTCATAGATTGTGTAGATATAATGCAGTTGGCTTAACTTACATCAAAAGAGGCATCTTAGAGAACGTTTGGAAGATTTTTGGCTACAATCATGGATCAACCTCTGCAACAGCATCCCCCAGCTCTGAAAGGCAGATAGATGTACCTGAGTATTCCCTCTGAGTATCCTCATAACACCTTCTGTCAGGTACTCTGTGGTTTTATCCTGAATTTCATCTCTTGATGGAGTTAGAAGTCAGCTCTCCTTGTCGTCATCACTTCAACTACTCATCACAGTACTGCTTTTACGTCAATGCACAGCACTTCTGTGCTCATCCATGGGCCCAAGGGTGGGTTTTAGATCTCTGAGCAGACCACTCCTCTGCTGTAGGCAGAGGATGCCATCGGGCTGTCCCAGTGCTGCAGGGAGTCTGTGTTCAAGGATCCTGGCCCCTGTGCCCTCACAGAGGTATCTGTCTCTCCGCGATGGTCTTGTGAGGCCCTGTGGTAGCCTGGTGGCATTCCCTTCCGGCTTTGTGGTAGATGATTAGCTCTGTAGCTTGAACAGCTTCTTAGATGGCTATGCCAAGGTGGCTGTGGACCTCTAGGGGGGCACTAGGCCATCATGTTGGATGTGTGTGGTGCATTGCCTGCCTGGGTCCACAGTTGCCCCCTGTACTGACTGGGTCTCTATGGTCCTCTGGTGAGAAGTCAGTAAGGAGCGCAGCACATTGAAGGGAAGCAGTGGCACTGCAGGGACACACTGGGTGTCCAAGGACCAGGATTATTTGCTCTACAAAATGAATATTGGTGGTCAAAACTGTTAAAGATAGCAGCCATCTCCATACCACAGCACTGGTACATGAATCATAGTCATGTTTTTCATCTGTAGTGGATACAAAAATCCTAGGTATAAGTATAAGCAACATAGCCTCAAAAGTGCTTTGGGTCCCTAGTCTTTGCTGTCAACTTTCAGTAGCCTCATGGCTGAACTGATGTATTTTAAGGTCCTGGACTGATCTCTGCTTTCCTGTCCTGAGCTAAGCAAACTGGTGCTTGCTGCCAGTGCTGGCTGCATGAGTGCGCTCCTCCCACAGCCAATGGGAGTTTCCAGCTCTTCCATTGGCAAAGGCTTTGTATGGGCGGAACTTACTCTTTTGTGTATCCTCACTGCAGTTTACATCTTTATAGCTATCTTATTAACGTTACTGTAGGTTTCAAACAACTGTTATTTAATAAGTCCACTTTCTGTAATGCCTTTGTATGTGTGAATCTGAGCCACCCAAATGGCTCTTCCCTTTGCTGCCACTTTTGGTTTATAGACTTGACTGTGCCTTGTCATTTGGGTGAAGCAATGAAGTAATGATGACAAGAAAATCTGGCACCTCACTTGTCAAGAGATGCAAGTGGCTTCTGTAAGGCCCACGGGGTAACCCTCTCACGAAAACCCTACAGGCTTCATGTTTGTGCACAAGTGGCACAACTCCAAGACAGCCTTTTGACACCAGAAATCTTGTCTCCTGAGCAGCATGAACTCCCCACTGAAATAATAGAGAAAAGCACTAGACCATCAGCGACTCCTCAGAGCCAGTATCAGTATGGGCAGCAGCCAGATTCCTTCACCAAAGGTGCTGGGAGTGTCTTATCTTGTTTTCGAGAAGACTGGGAAACCAGTTGGACTACCTAGGGGGACTGGACTCTGCCCAGGTGGGAAGGTGCTGATTGACAGGCTGAGGTGTGGGATCTGAGAGGGTCTGGCCGTGCTTCTCTCACTGCCAGGAGAGGGTCCTGGTGAGCTGAATGGGAGCTACACTGTCACACTGCCATCATCCAAGTCTAGCATTGGCAGGATTAAAGGCATTTCCGACCATGAGCTTGGTGCCTTTCTTTCACAAGAGAAGGATCAGCCCTAGGTATCTGACTCCTGCCATCCTATAAGAGGTGCACATCACATGCCCACAAGGTTCAATGTGATGTCTTAGGCATTTTCTGTACACATTTTACAGAGCTGAAAGTGGTATCCCTTGAACAATGTGGCTCATACTGTACCTGTGCAAGTTTTCTATGCTCACTGGTGCAGGCTCCCATTGGTCAGGACTAAATCTCCTCCCGTCAAAATATAGGTAAAATCCTTCCCTGCTGCCATCGATCAGGACTTGAAGTGCAGGCTTGTTCCCAAGCAAAGCATTGCTTGTGGTGAAAGGTGAGTGAATACTGCACATCGCTCCCTGTGTGCAGCTGTGCAAGCAGCTTCCTCCATTCAGGTGATGTTGAACCTGAATTAGGTGCATGTCCTCTCCAGAGGTCAGTCTGTTGTGTACAGCTGTGGCTCTCAGGAATCTCTCCTGTGTGACCTGGGCTGAGTTCTTGTGAATTCTGCTCACTGCCCACCCACTATATCACTGAAGAGTGCACCTCCAGACAGCCTGGTGAGTAGCACGTTCCTCACTGGTGCTCAGAGTTGTCCCTCCTGCTCTGGCTGGGCACAAAGAGATGAAGAGTATTCCATCCCTATGTGCAGGTCCTCAGAAGGAGGAGGGTCACCTCCAGAGCTGGAGGGTCTTGGAACAGTGCAGGTTAAAGGCTGAAAGTAGTCTGTATCCTCCTGTCCCATCTTTTGGGCTCATGCAAAGGAGGTGGTCCCTCTGCTAAGAGGCTCCTGCTGTTCCCCATTGGGCTGCCCCACAGACTGGGCACTCCTGCCCTGGAAGCCTGCGAGAGGGGATACAGTTTGCATGCAGTCACAGGGTCAGCCTGTTTCCACCTTCTGAGCACTTGGTGTGTGCACAGATTCCTCTATCTGAAGGCTCCCAAGAGTGGATAGCCTAAAAGGGCACTCCCAGGGTGGAAACAAGAGGCCTCAGAAACTTCCCTGGAAGGGCCTCTTCCTACTTTTGTGACTTGATTTAGGAACTTCTCAGCCTCCTAACATCAAGTCATCTATGTCGCTCCGTGATTCAATTACTTTCAAAAGCCCTACTTATGTGTGAGGCTCTTGGGGGACAATTAGATCTAAACCACAATACCCATGTCCTGAAAAGAACACAGATCTCTTAGGTTTCTATTGGGGTTACTGGAGACAGCTCAGGCATTCCACCTGGGAAAAGTTAGTGGGTGTCCAAGTTGTGTTAGTGCCTCCACTCCCACCCCCACCCCAGCCTTCTTCTCAGTGCAAGAGAGTCCTACAGATAATTTTCCCCTAGGTCAGAAATTCCTGGATGTCAGGGACACCTTAAATTTATCTCAGCTTTCTGGAACAATGCTAGCACATACCAGGGAGATGGAGATTGGCCTGACAGCTGCAGCTGGACTGATTGTCCTGGGAACTGGACACCATCTGCCTCTCAGCTGGCACATCTGGGCACCTCTGGCCCATGCTGTGGCCTATTCCATCCACAGAAATGCAGGAGCCACAGCAAGATTTCTGGGACTTTTATTTGTACTTACTGTGTTTTTAAAGTTAGTGAGGATGGATTTGTGGCCCCTTTGGGGTACACTTCTGTGTGGCCAGCCCCACTCGCCTCTCCCAGCCCACCCCTCCCACCTTCCAGTATCTCATGTCACCTGAGGTGCAGAAGACAGCCTATGCTGGTGCCTTCCCGTGGCTGCGGCTTCAGGTCCAGGCCAAAGGTGACCCCAGGAAAGGAAGGGGACCAGTCTGTCTGGGGCCTCCCTGCCACTCTCTCTTTGTCCAGGTGCTCTAGCAGGAGAAACTGGAGGTCTAGGCCCCTCCCAGCCCCTCTTAGCCTCCCCTGCAGGGTGCTCTTCTGTTCCAGGCCTTGCTGTCCTTGGGCACACAGGGTGCCCTGTGGCTTTCAAGCAGGATGTCGCTCTAGGATTCTCTCTGCCTTTCTCAGTGCACTGTGCAGTCACCCTTTTCCAGCCCTTCGGGATAAGGTGGGCAGAAAGTGGAAGACCCTTGAAGCTCAGGGTTTTGCCGGTCAGGGTTGGACCCATGTGCCTGCAGCAGCTGGTTTTCTGCAGCCTGGGTTATGGGATGGACTAGGCCTGCGCAGAGACCTGAGGGACGTTCCTGAACAGCAGCTCTATCTCTGCATCTCTGGCCCCTACCCTGTCTCCCAGCCCCCAGACAGCAGCCCCCACCCGGGTTCTCAGCTGTGGGTTGGGGCGCACTGTCAGCCTCCCGGCGGCAGAGCAGTCACCCTCACCTCCCGTGCTGTGGGTTTGTGGGTCTCCTTGCCCGGGAAGCATGTGCACAGTCACCCTGTCCTCCATTCCTCTCCTCCCCTGGATCCCAGCCTCTCAGCCACCAGGCTTGCAGGAAGGGAGAGCGGCGGATGGGATGGGACTGGATGGAGACTCATGAGCTGTGCGTGCCCAGGCTGAGCACGGAGAAGGCGGCGCGGTGCTTGCGGAGCAGCAGCCGGATCTTCTCGTCGTCAGAATCGGGGTCCAGGGGTTTGTTGTACTCGTCGTCCTCAGTCTCCGAGGGGGCGTGGTCCCCGCCTGTGCCTGCAGCTCCCGGGGCCCGTGGAGTGGAGGAGGAGGGCTCCAGGGCACTCTTCTTACGCCATTTGGTCCTGCGGTTCTGGAACCACACCTGGGGCAAGAGGGCTGTGTCACCAAGCACAGTACACCGTTGGAGGACTCCTGGCCCCTGCTCTGGCTTATGTGGGGAGCAGGATGGCAAAGGGCACATCGTTGGGGCAGTACAACCCTTTTGGCTTGGCTGCCACCATTTGCTGCAGACCTTTGAGTGGGAGACAGTGAAAGACCCGGGGTGGCAGGGTGGGAAGGCTTAGGCTGGGTGCTGCTACACAGCAGTGGGTGGGTTGAAGTCCTTGGTGCCAGGGATGAAGCTCTGGGACAGTGCTTGACTAGCATGCAAGAGGCCCTGCTTTCCACTCCCAGCATTGACACAAATAAAATTAAAATAATGAAATAACCATCTCTCTTCTTTTAGGTTCATAGCCCCTCACTGAGCTTCCTGAATAATCTCCTAATAACTTGCACATTGTTTGAGAAAGCTTAAGCCTGCACGTACCTACAGAGACAGAAAAATGGGCGAGGGTTGTAATGTTTCCCCCGCTTCTGTTCATCAGCCTTCATACCCAAAGGAATCTGGGAGAATAACTGGTCCCAGAGGCTGGTGAGTTGGACAAAGCCCAGACCTGGGTCCCAGCCTCCCTGGATCCATCCAGAAACCTGCCATCCCAGCCCTGGGTTGGAAGTCCTGGTGGCTTCCGGCCTCCTTCAGTGATGTCTATGGGACAGTCTAGTGTCAAGTAAAAAGAACTTATCTACCCTCCCAACCTCCATGGGACCACCCCGCCACTTACCTCTGATGCCCATCCCACCACCCTTCAGGTAGGAGTGGAGGGAGACATCATCATCATTTTAAAAATTGGTAAGCAAGGGGACCGATTTCTTTTGCTGGCAGCTGCAGGGATTCCTGGTCAGAGTACTGGAGGTGAGGAAAGCACCAGGTTGTCATCCCACAGCTGGAGGAGCTGGGAGTGGCCTCTGTGTGGCCTGTCTGACAGGGGCTTCTCTGCAAGGCAGATACCTCCTCTTGAATAGACTCACCTTGACCTGTGACTCGGTCATGCCGAGTGAGTATGCCAGCCTCGCCCTCTCGGGGCCAGCCAGGTACTTGGTCTGCTCAAAGGTTTTTTCCAGGGCAAAGATCTGGTGCCCAGTGAAGGTGGGCCGGGTGTGCTTCTTCTTGTGGACGCCTTCACTCAGGTGGTCTGGGGCTGGTGGGCAGGAGGGAAGTGGGTTAGCAGAGGAGTGGAGCACCAAGCACCGCCTCTGGGATGCCAGTCCTGTCCTGCCTCTGTCACAGGGCACAGCTAATAGTGTGGCCATGACCTCTGCTGTGGAGACAACAGGGCTCCAAAAGGGCAGCTATCCCAGCCTTCAGCTACTTAGGTTTATGCCTCTCTAATGTTCTCACTGTTCAATGCTGCTGCCCTCCCCAGGGACAATAGAAGCTTCCTCTCTGTTGCAAGACACCAAGACAAGGCTGGCCCTTCATACCACCAAAACCAGGATTGGCACCTTCTGTGCACAACCATTGCCCAGGAGCCTGAACGCCTCCCTACTTCCTCCATCCTAGACCTCAGTTTCCTACATTTCTTGGAAAACAAGAATAAGCCACCAGTGCCGGGGCCTACTTCCCTGTTGCACGGCCAGGATGACACGGGGCACCTGATCCAAACCCCAGCCAGAGCAACCTGTTCATGAAGGAGCTGGGGACTCAGGGCACAGAGGAAGCAGAATCCCTACTTGTCTGGCAACCCACATCCCTTCTCCTCTTGTGACTGATGGGGAGACTGAGGTCATAAAGAGGAAGAAGCCTTCAGAGAGGTCATCATCTTCAGGCCTTACCCCTTGATTCATTTACCTCTTAGTCATCAGTGATTGTGTGTGTGTGTGTGTGTGTGTGTGTGTGTGTGTGTGTGTGTTCAGCATTGAAGAAGAGAGGGTAAAGAGGGCGTGGAGCTGTGGCAAGTTGAAAATGAGATAATGGGAAGACAGCTAGAGGTTTAAAGCATCCTCCAAACAGGCTGTAAAATAGGTTCCAGTGTGTAGGACATTGTTTCCGGAGTTGGCTTCAGGCCCCTATTGCAGGGGGAGCTCTTGTCCTTGCCAGATCTGGGAACAGTTTTGGTGGCACAGGGATAGTTCTGGAAGCCATTATCACTCTGCCATCCTCCCAGGTGGGCCTTGCCTGCCAGTGCATGCTCCTGCCCTCCTGTACTCCCCGACTGGCCCTGGGACCCCTGGACCAGTTCTCTGGAGCCCGGGCTTGGGGTGAGTGGAAGGATAGTTTCCCAAGCCTTGCTTGCTCAGCTGCTTGGCTCCTCCTGTTGTTATCATCCCCAGGGAGAGAGAGGGTAGAAAGAGGGCTTTTTTCTCTCAGGCATGACCTTGGTGGGCTCCAGGTCCCTGATACCAGGTGTGAGTAGGCTCTCTGGGAAGGTGACACTATGGCAACTGTCACCTTTGGAGGTGGCATGGGCTCTGGGCATTGCACGGAGAGGCTGAAGCTGGACGCTACATGGTGTGGGTGGGCTATGTGGTCTTCTTAGGTCCCCTGGAGAATTCTGGGGTGGGTCAGGTGGGCTGAGGCAATAGTCAGACATCTGTACCAGGCACGGCTGGGTGAAACGCAAGAGGGTAGGGTTCCACTTGCACCCGTGTCCAAGCTGGGCAGTTAGACAGTCTAGGGGAGGCAGCCCTCTCAACATAAAAGGGCTGGGAGGGCTTGCCTGGTACTCACCATCGCCGCACTGCCGCCCGCCGCGCCAGTCCTGGCCTGTGTCTGCCCAGCAGTTCCGGGTCCGTGTTGGGTACTCGTTCCCAGACTTGGGAAAATTCCCCATCTGGGTACCATAGTAGACCCCCTGGGAGCTGAGGCCACTGAAACTGGCCACGTGGGGGTAGCTGGAAAGGAGGCTGCTGTTCGGCGTGGCCACAGGCCTGCTCAGGATGTCCGTGATCCCATGGGGGGTCCCAGCAGCCAGCTGGGGGCCAAGCGCCGGAGGACTGAGCTTGTAGAAGGAGTTCTGCATGGAGTACTGGCACACAGGAGCCTTCATCTCTGAGAACTGGGCCAGCGGGGTGTTGTTCAGCAAGAAGGCCCCCTGTAGGTTGGACTCCATGATCTCCAGGTCAGACAGCGGGAAGCAAGAAGCTCAAATCCAGGCCTCTACAGCCTGAGAGCCCAGGCTCCGGCTCCAGGTGTCATGGCAGGTTTGGAGTCAGAAGCCGCCTGAGCCTTTGAGTGCACCCACAGCACCCGGTCCGGGCACCCTTGCCAGTGTCTCCTAGGCAGGTGCCACAGGCTGAGGGCAGGCCTCCGCAGCACTCGCTCCTTCGTTCCTGCCTGCCCTGGCCTGGCCAGGGTGCTCTCCGAGCTTAGTGCAGTGCTCCCCTCTGCCTCTGAGTCTGGGGACCCTCCATGAGAAGTTGAAGTTCAGAGAAGGGACATTTCCCTGATAAAGATATGGCCTATTAGAATACGCAGCAGAGACTGGCTGAGCTGGGCAAGCCGCGTCGCCATTGGTCGGAACCCACACGGGCTTCACATTGGCTTTTCCTAGACAAATTGCACTTTGAAAGATTGACTGTAAAATCAGCAGTGTGTGTGTGTGTGTGTGTGTGTGTGTGTGTGTGTGTGTGTAAGAAGCAGAGAAAGAAAAGGGAATGCACTCTGGAAGCTCTGTTCATTGCCAGAGGCCCCTAAGAGAAAATGGGTGTCGGAGATCCCTGGAGGCTCCTTCGTAGCTGTTCCCTGAGGTGAGGTCAGGCTCAGGGGTCCCTGTCCTGAGCTTCCGAGCTCTCTCTCTCTGCATGGTTGAAGCCTGAACTTGTTTCCCTCCCTGCTCAGTGCCTGGATGAGGTAAGTGGGGGTACTTGGTGATGCCTGCTTGTGGGGGCCTGAGAACTTGGGTGGGGGCCTGCTGGGCAGACTGAATCAGAGCAGGCAAGGAGGGCAGCTCTGGTGAGGGTGCATCTTCCTACTCACTGGCACTCAGAGTTGTCCCCTCTGTCATGGGCCAGCCTTCCCTAACTCATTTGGCTGAAATTGCTTCTGTATCTGGGTCTCTGCTGGGGCCATGGCCATGTGCTGTCTGGCTTGGTGTCCGGTGTGAAATCTCTGATGCTGGGCTGTCCCTGCCTCTGTCGCAGAGCCATGCTGCTGGGTGCTTGATTGGGGCTGCTGCATGGGACAGGAGTGAATATCAAAGCCCCACAGGTTGCTGTTCTTCACTGAATTTTTATAGCATACATGGCACTACTGGGGAGATTTCATATTTTACAATCAGGGAAACAGATACAGGGGAATTAACCTGCTTTATAGGTACTGGTATAATTTCTGTCTTGTGCCAGCATTCTTTCCTAAAGATGTTCTCTAAAAATAAAAGCAGGTATGTCCATTGCCTAAATATATACAATAACAAGAAAAATATTTTGCAACGGCCCTGACTCTGTCTGATAACCTCAGAGCTGTCCTGACCTGGCCATGGGTTCTTCAGGAACCTTGACAGCCCTGGTATTGGCTTTGGCAGTGGGGGATTAGAGGCCCTGCCCATCTTGGCCCAGAGTCACAGGAGCCCCTTCTTCCACACAGCTCTGAGCCCTCCTTCTGTGGCACAGGTGATTTAGGTAACTCAAGGAAGTCTTCCAAGAAGTGTGCAAATGACATTTTAATTTTTAAATTAAAGCCAAGAAAACTTTTCTTGTGTGTCTAACTCAGCTTCCTGCCAGTTGCTCTGGGAACTTAGCTGATTCCTAGCGCTCCCCAACCCTAGTAGTGGGGTTGCAGAAGTGCATTTGGATAACAGGGATGCAATGGGTGATCCCTGACAGGGGCTTACTGGTCCTAGAAGCTGGCTCTGGGGCCCTTGGAACTGTTACTTGGGCACTCCCTAAAGACAGGAACTTCTCAGGAAGAAAATCATGAAATATGTATGATTCATGTCAACACTGACAAAACTGCATCTGGGAATCCCAGCAAATCAAGGGGAAGACTTCAGTGGCCACTTAATACAGTATTTCTTTTTCTTTTCTTTTTTTTTTTTTTTTTTTGTGGAACCAGGGATTGAACTCAGACCCTTGCGCTTACCAGGGAAAGGCTTATTCTACTGAGCCATTTCCAGCAGCTGGAGAAATAAGCCAGCAGGTGTTAGGGACAAGGCTGGCTGCTCTTTGTGGCCAGGTTGGTTTCCAGACGGCCAGCGCACCGAGTGGAAGGAGCCAGGGCTCCCCTGCGGGAGAGCTGGGTTCCCGGTATGCAGTGTGGAACCGCCCTCCAACTCCACAATTGAGGGGTAATCCAAGCTTGGGGAGGAGCCCTGGGCTGTCCGTACCCTAACCCATGCTTCACTCCTGCGCGGCACCTCGCACCCCGCACCCATGCCAGGAAAGAGAGACCGCCATGCCATGAGTCGGTTTCTTTATTAATGTGACATTTGTTCAGCTGGTGTAGGGACAATGGTCTATACATCAGAGTGGGAGGGGCGGGTGCTCTCTCAGCAACAGAGCACATGGGAGGGTCCAGAAACGATTCGTTTTTCATAACAATTAAAAAATCAAGGTCATTTCAAAACTTCTAAAAAGCGTCTAATGTGCAGACTGCAGCATTCTCTAGGCGTCGAGTGGAGATCCCAAAGTCCTCCCCTACGCAGCTCCTACTAGTAGCGGTGCGCAGCCAAGCCGCCCAGGGCCGGGCCGGCGGGCCAAGCAGCCAAGCCAGACGGAGCAGGAGCCAAAGCGGGGCTGGGCCGCGGGGGCGCAGGTGGGCCGCGGCCCGGGAGAGAAAGGTGCAGGCTCTGCCCGTCGTCCGGCCTCTGCCATCTCGGCCTGCGAGGCACCGCTGTTCCCGACGCCGCGTTGCGGCCGGGTCTGGGCGTCCAGCGTCCGCACGCTCGGGCTGTGCACTGCGCAGAGGAAGCCTGCGAGGCTGGGCCGCTGGTACAGCCCGCCCGTGCGGGACTAGCCGGCACTTCCTCTCCCGGGCGCCCTTCTTCCTCCCTCTCTCCCTCCCTCCCGTAAAGCAGAAGCTGGCCCCGCCCGGAGGCCGGGAACGCCCCTGGCCCGGAGGCGCGGCCCGGAAGCGCGAGCTGGGCTCCGGGCGGGCGCGGAGGTGTCTGTGCTACTTGGAAGGTTTGAGGGTGTCCCGAGGACGCCCCGGAGCGGCCTGGAGGAAGGTGCCGGCCCGCGGAACGCGAGAAAAGCCTGCAGGCCCCCTCCAGGCAGGCAGGTGGGCCGCTTTGTGCTGATTCGGGCCCTCGCTGGAGGCGCCGGGGCGTTAAGGCTCATCCCGGGGCTCCTGCCCTTGCACCAGGCCACTGTCCTCCCCGCCGGGCCAAGGGCTGAGCCCGGCCCACCCACCGCCCCAGCCTGCGGGCTGCCTGGACTTCGAGCACCAAGTTGGCTCCGGGAGAGATGGGGGCTGGTGGCTACATTCACTAGCCCTGTCCTGCTCTTTCACTGAAAGACAGCCTGTAGCTCGTCTCCCGCAGGCCGGAGAAGTCCGGAGCGAGCTGTTAGTGCTTCATACGTACTGCTAAGTGTTTCTAGTGGTTTGCATAGTATTTATTGTTTTTCATATACACAAGGCTGATTACTGTACAGTTTACACTTTGGACACGGACTATGATAGAAGTGCTTGAAGATCTAGAAAACCTCTTCTCTATGGTCATGCTGGTGCGGTCCGGGCAGCCACCGGCCCTTCTCCCGCTGACCTTTGCGCTCTGCTGGCCAGCTCCTGAGCCCTCAGCTAAGCCTGGGGTCCTCGCCTCTGATCTTTAAACTCCTAAGGCAAGGGACCCCAATACAAGCACAGGGCAATGATTTTCCATTGGAAGATGATTAATACTGAGACTGGCAGACAGAACGTAAAAAACATCCTAGCTCATCCACAGGAGAGTCCACACAGCTTCAGAGGCCACAGTGAACTCAGCATGTGGCTGCTGGAGGGGCGAGTGACTGTCCTGCGTGTCCTAGTGTGGGGCTGTCCCCTGGGGTGGAGGAGTGGCACGCAGAATGGAGGTGAGTAGGGTGGACACAGGATTGACGTGCTAACCTGATTTCATGCCTAGTTTGTTTTTCCTTCCAGGAAGCCCACATAGATTTTTTTTTTTTACAGATGAAAATTGAAAAAATGTACCCTGTACGAAGTCAAAAATCAAAACAATTTAAAAAAACCCCAAACCATCCCCAGCCGAGAAAGAGCCCTTTGCATCTGCACGCTCTCCCTTGTGTGTGTCCCCTCCCCTTCTCCTCTCCCTTCTGGCAGCAGACAGATCCGGAGTCCCGGAGTCGCTGGGGCAGGATTGCAGACTGTAGGTCATGCAGTCTACAGCCAGTCGTTCATGCGGTAGGAGACTAAAGGAGCCCTCACAGAGGTCATGCTGGGAGCCTAGAGGAACATGGGCAGCGCTCTGTTGCCCTCGGGTCCAGCGCTCCTCCTGTGTGCATGGCAGAGTGTATGGAGTCAGGGGTTGGGTGTCGAGGTGTGATCCTGGGGGACACAAAGAAAGAATTATTTAGGATTTAAAGGTGCAACTCCTAGCAAAAACCCCAAATGTGGAGTTTGGTGCTGACTGTTCAGTCAGGGCCCCCAGGCAGGAGCTGCACGGAAGGGTGCTCTGCTGCACTATCAGACCTTCCCCAACTCCTGACCTTCCATCCCTGCTCCCTGTGCAGAGGCCACCACCCCAGAAGCCTGAGTAGGTTTAGTGAGAGTACTGCATGCTGCACCCAAGAACAGGCAGAAGGCCACTGGACCCTGCTTATAGGAATGAGCCATTCCATGAACCCAGGCTGGCTCTGAGAAAGATGCCAGGCCAGGCAACGCGACCTTTACATGCTCATTCCACTTTGGCCACCAAAGATTCAGGTCTGTTGTGCTCCTGTCCTGGGGATCCAGAGATGGAGCACATAGGACTGGCCTCCAGAGCTCAGGCCTCTGGAGGAGGATTCTCTGGAGAAATGGGCGAATTCTTGGATATGGCAGGTCCAAGGCTAAGATTGACAGCAGAGCCCTCTTCTATCCCTGGGGCCTCATCCTCTCAGCTGGTGAAAAAAATCATGTTTTCAAAACCAGGATCTCAAGATTCTATCTGCTAGGACCTACCCAAGAAGAATGGAAGACTAGGAGAAAGGTGTCCACAGCCTTTGGGTAGGGTAGAAAGTGATACAGAAAGGCAGCAGGTCATTCAGAGGGAGGAGAGCTGTCCCAGACCTGGAGATGTCTTGGTAATGCAGGATGTGACCAAGAAGATCATGAACAGAGAGCTTCAAAGAGTGAGGGATGCTTTTCCTAAAGGCAGGCAGCTCTGCTGCTTTGGTCTGATGGGCTGTCACCTTGAGGGGCCACCTTCTGAACCGGGAGCCCTCTCTCTCTGCTTGAGGGCTCCATTTTCCCTTGGAAGGCTGTGACCCATTCTGCTCCCTTCAGAGTCCTGCCCGGCCCTCAGGGCACCCCTTCCTCAGCTATCCCTGGCTGCCACCACTTTTTGTTGAGACTGCACAGTGTGTGATGGTCCAGAGCAGGAGCTCTCAAGCTAGACTGCCTAAGTTCAAATCCTGCTTCTGCCAGTACTTGCTGCTTGACCATGGTCAAGCTGCTTACCTGCTCTGGGACTCAGTTTCCTCCCTGTGAAATGAGGGTGGTAGTAGAACCACCTGCATTAGACCACTGTGATGTTTGGAAGACCTGTCAGATCTGTGATGTGTTTAGGACCGTGGACATTCTCGGCAAGTGAACTATTACTGGGCTGTCTAGAAATGCTACTATTCTGATTCTCTTTCCTTTTTAGCACTGGTGCCGGCATTATTTCCCTGGCTGGACTGTAGGGCCGGGAAATAACAGATACTGCATTGCTCATGCCAGGGGTAAGCATGTCCTCAGGTAAGGGGCTTAATGAACCCTGCAGTTTACAAAAGACTGACTCTCTCTCTCTCTCTCTCTCTCTCTCTCTCTCTCTCTCTCTCTCTCTCATATTTTTGAGACAGGATCTCGCTATGTGGTTCAGCTGGTCTTGAACTCACTCTGTAGCCCCCAGTTGGTCTTGAACTTACAAGGATCCCCTGCCTCAGCCTCCTTAGCACAGGGATTACAGGTGAGTGCCACCATGCCCAGCTAAGACCCACCCACTTTCAAGTGGGGAAAGACAAGTCCTCAAGGTTATTGTGGTAAACTGCCCATTTTGTAAAAAAGAGGATGACTGGGGTGGTTGGAGGAGGCCTGCAGCACAGGGGTGGGATGCAGAGCCACACCTCCAGCTCATCCAGGCCTTCTGCCTGCCACGTGGCCTTGCCTGGACCCTGCTTTCAGAAAGGACTCATCCTTTCAAATCTCAGAAAACCACCTCTTCCACTCCAGGGTTGGGTGCCAGTCCTTTCTCTATGGTGATCCCTGTTCCCGCAGTGTGCCATCTCTCCTCCAGCCCTCACTGCTGATGTCTTCATGGTACTAGGGTGAAGGTGGACACTAGTTCCACACAGAACAGAATGTGCATGCTCCATGGCCCACCCATAGAGACTACTGCTGAATTTTAAACTTATCCAGATATTCTGTTGTCAGAGCTAATGTAAGTCTTACAGCCACACTGAAAGGAAAGTGAGCCTTAAAAAGGAAAACAAAGATGGCAGCATGCTCGATGAAGATAGCCTGCCCAAGTTGCCAGGAACCCAGGGTCCTGCAGCATCTCTGCCCCCCACTGCAACACAGGGACATCCACACAGTAACACTGGGCACAGGGCAGAACCTTCTGCCTCTGCTGCCTGCTCCAAATCATGGCACCTCACTCAACAGCAGTTTCCGGCTTATTAAATCAACCTCCCAGAAAGCATTGTAACCATCAGGCCTGGATGCAAAAGCCTCCCTGAAGCAGGGAGTGGCGGGGGAGTCCATTGGGTCCTCCCAGGATGGTATGCCCTGCCCCTACAGGAACTGCAAGCCATTGTTCATCCCAGTTCCCTTTTGGACATGAAACCTACAACTGTGCCACCTTGCTTTGGGAGATTTGGGAAGGAAAATCAAATGAGTCCTAATAATTCAATTTTCAATATGCATAAAAAGTGCCTGAGCAAAGCAATGCAGAATCTTTGAGTTTCAGAATTTTAATGCAGGGGGCCAGCCAAATAGCTCAGTGGATTAAAGCTCCTGCAAGCAGAAACAAGGGCCAGGGTTCAATCCCTGGGCCTGCCATGTTGGCCCTGCCTCCAGGGTGTGCTGAGATAGCAATTGAGACTGGGTGTGGTGGTGCACACCTATAATCCCAGCTCTTGGGAGGCTGTAAACAGGTGGGCCACTATGAGTCCAATCTAGTAGTGAGACTCTGAACACCCTGTAGACCCTTTCCTAAAATACAAATAAATAAGTAAAATAAAATAAAATAAATAAAGAATTTTAATGCAGGGTGACTCAGGCAGGACCACAGTTTTCTCTTCCTGGTGCTGCAAAGGTGTCCAGGGTCTCATACATGCAAGGCAAGCCATCCACCACTGTGCTACACCCCCACCCAGAAATCCATACTTCAACAAGCTTCTCCCATGACTGTCACACAGGGATGTGGATGGCACTCCGTGGAACTTGACAGCTTGTAAAGCCCTTTCACAAATATAAACTTATCGATCCCTATAACCATCCTGCAAGGAAAATATTGGCATTATTGCTACTTTGTAGATAAAAGACCTGAGGCTGGGAAGGTCGATCGACTTGCCCTGGATGCCACTGTAGATAAAGCCTGCCATTGATTGAGAATGGACCGTGTGTGTTCTTATTTTCTCTTTACCGCAGTGTTCTCAGTTGCCCATAAACTTATTAGTATTACTATTATTTTTGATGCTGGTGATGGAATCCAGGGCTTCATACATAGTAAGTATGCACTCTACCACTGAGCTCCATCCCTGTGAGCTTTTTCTTATAGTGTAACGGACATTGGGAAGGCACTGTTTCATCTTCCCTTGGGGAATATGATGCTCAAGGATATTAGATGACCTGTTAAAGGTTACATGATCTGGAAATAGGAGGAACCTGGCCTTGAATCTTGACTCCTAAGTCCGAGCTTTCATTGTCTGACATAAATACAGTTGGTTTCATTATCCGTAACAGTCCTGTTGCTCAAGGTGTGTGGGCACTGAATTAGTGAACACTGAACCATTGCTCTTATGCAAAATACAAGTTTAGGTTCCTGTGAACCTCAGTCCCAATTTTGTCACCTGTGAGTGCACAAACTTTTCTACATGTTTACTATGCATGTTTAATGTGCACGTTTAATGTACACATGTTTAATGTACATGGTTGATTCATCAACACTGTCCTCACACAAGCAACATCGTAACTCACCCACCAGGGACACACAGTTCCTCTTGGAAGGGGCCCTGCAGCCTCTGTTTGCACCCACAAACACTGGATAGCCCTTCAGCACTACCTGGGATCATTCTCAGTGGAGAGATCACCAAGAGAAAACATGGAAAAGTGCAAAACATCATTCACCGTAGACACGACAGGGACACTTGTCCCTGTCACGAGGGCTGAAGTTTCGCAGGTTGCTGCCTTGCTCGGCCTCACTAGGACATGCCCACTGGGCAGCTGGAAGCCTTTGCTGCTGAGGTGTGTCTGTGAATGACCACAAAAGCATGCTGAGCAGTGGCTTTGGGTTACAATGAATTTTAGCAAGTGGGCAGAGTCGCAAATGAGAATAGAGTGACTCCATGACTGACTACACCTGCCTGCAAGCTGTGACAGGAAGCAGGAAGAATCAGAGCTGCAGCCCCTTGCTATCTTCTCTGGCCTTGGCTCTGGCAGGGAGAGCCTGGTATTTAGGCTGCCCTCGGGTCCTTTGGACGTAGGCAGGAGCCAGGCTCAGCACTGTCCCCACCACACACGTCCCTTTGCCTCTGACTGGCAGAGGGCCCAGTGCTGTCCGGAGCCAGCTTGTCCATGTCCCTGACACCCACTCAGGGCCTGGTTCCAGGTTCCCTCTGAGGCTTTCAGCCTCTTTGCAGATCATCTACAGCAAATTAACCAGATTCTGAGTTGCCTCCCTCCCCCAGCCTGGCCACTGGCTGCCTGTCAGGGACACTGGTAGAACCTTAGCTCAAGCAGAACCCAAAGTTAAAGCTGCTGCTGCTACTACAAGAAAAATGAGGCCAAAGAATGCTTTTCCTTTTGCTCTGCTTTTTACAATTATTCACACCTCTGGGTTACTTCTGGCACCAGAAGGCAGCTCTTCACAGCCTTCTGCATCAACAGCACTGGGGCCCCTGGCAGTGCTGGGGTTAACTCGGTGACCTGCTTAAGCTGCTGAGGAGTCAGATCTAATTTTATCCTCTGACTGGATCCACCAGCCTCTTTTTTTGCTCAAGTACTGAGATATGTTGGGAAGCTCCCAGTCAGCACTTCTGGTGGCTCAGGAGGAAGTGGGCCCTGCTTTTTGCAGAACGTAGAAATTCAGTGCCTCTTGCTACCCCAGAGTCAGACCCCACCCAGGGAAAGTGCCAACCTGCTCAGTACTGTGCTGGGCCATGGTGGTGCATCCTTGCTCCCTGCTGACTCCCACCCCGATGCATCCTGTACTGAGCTGCCCCGAGCGGGGCACAAGGAAGGGCCTCGGGGCAGCTCAGTACAGGATCCCTCAGGGAGGCTGGGATCAGAGCTGGCGGAAGCCCCCAGCATGGTGCTGCCCACGAGAGACCGTTGCTTCATATCATGGCACTCCCTGCCTGCCACCACCCCAGTCCTACTGCCCACACACCAACCCCGCCAACCTCAGTGACCCTCCTGATGTTCCAGAGGTGCCACCTGCCCCTGGGCCTGTCAACTTAGACCCATCCTAGAAAGCGAGGGGCAGCCTCATTCACAGAACAGCAGGGTGTGGAAGCTTGGGGCTGCTCAGCACTTCAGTTTGGGTCAAGTTCAAAGGACAGCCCAGCTCCAAGCCTTGGAGCCCTTCCTGAAATATCAGAGCCCACATTTGAGATGCTCCTATGCGGTTAGCACTCTGGCCACCAACTTCTATAGCCATACTGCTTGGCTTCCACAACTACTTAGATTATTGGAAAGATTGTTTTGCACTCAACAAACCATGGTTTGCTTCAAAACTGTACAGGGCTGAGCATGTAGCTCAGTGACAGAGTACTTGCCTACTGTGAACGAGGGTCTGGTTCTATCCCAACAACACAAAAACCAAACTAAACGAAATGGATCCAGACTGAAATACATTCATACATTCCTTGAAAAGTAGGTGGAGATGGGCCTGTCTCTGTATTCTTGATGAAGACCTGAGGTAGAATACTAGATGGGCAGTGGGACTCTGGTTGGTCATCTGCAGCATGCTGGGGACAGGAAAAGGGGCATGGGTGGGACTCATGCAGCCATGCCTTTGTCACCCAGGATCTGACATGCAGAAAGAAGAAAGCCACCATTACCTCCTGAGAGGCTACTCCAAGGAGAGAGGCTTGAGCTCACTGTTTGCCCCGTTTCAGGCTGGCCCGCTTCACTATCTGAGCCCCCTTCCTGCCCTCCAGAAGATCTGGCTGTAGGCCACTCCCTCTCAGTTCCACCTGGAGATAGCAACGGGAAAGAAAGCAGCACAGGTCATGAAGAGAAAGGAGAGAAAAACAGAGAAGAAAAGGGAGATGGACAGCTGGTGGAACGCTGTTCCCAAGGAGGAAGGTGACAGATGGAGACCAAGTACAGACCCAGCTGGCTGGAGGCACAGGCACAGGTGAGCACTCTGGATTCACTGCAAGAGTAGCCTCCAGAAACCATAGCCCCCTTGGTACCTTGTCGAGTTTTGTAATGAAATCAGGGTCGGTTTCCAGCACACTAGTGTCCTCCAGGGGGCCCCCAACAATCACCTCCTCATATTCCTGGGTGTCATCGGCACCAGACGAGGGGATCTGCTGAACAACTTTGCGGATAATCTAGAAAGAGAAGGAAAGGGGAAGGAAGTGGTCAAGCCACCCAGGAAGAGAAGGGCAAGAGCACGTTCCTAGGAGTGAGAGATGGAGGGGTAAGCCCTGCCCAAGAAGCCCAGAAAGGGATTGCTTTCCGCTGCCATCACCATATGGGAAAATGCGTGCTGGGCCAGGTTGGAGGACCTGGGGTCTGCGGAGGGCTCTCATGCATCCACTTGCTGTTCAAGGTCCGAGCAGCCCACAGCATTTCCCTCTGTCGCTGTGGCCACAGGCCGTTGCCCAATGCCACATGCAGGGGTGTTTCTTTTTCATCTACAAGAATTCCATTTTACCCACCCAGCTTTCCTTCATTCACACTAACATTCAACACCCTTTTCATCTGCCATGTGCTTAGAAGTGGGACATGAAGATGACAAGAGACACAGCCCCTGCCCACACAGAAAGAGGGTAGTGTGATGCCCTCTTCCTCCAGTGTGAGTACTCTGCTCACCCCCTGTGGCCCCAGGTAGCATGGGGCTGACCCCTGCCAGGCAAAATCGTTTCTCCAGTTCAGGGAGTATCCATGTCCTTATCAGAGGTTGCCTGGGCGGCCAAGAACGGGCACATTATTCTCCTAACAGCTGTTTTCAGGTCCAGGCACCATGAAACTAGGTTTCAGGTAGTTCCTGGGGGCTGTTATTCTGGAGCAAGGCACAAGCATTAAGGTCAGGTCAGACGAGGAAGCCCTGGGGCACACCTGTGTGATCTCAGAAGGCTGCAGTGCCGAGACCATTTCTGCTGAGCTGTGGAGGTCCTGGCCATGGCAGAGGAGGGACCACAGAGCTCCCTCCTATTAGGGCCACTGTGAAACCCTGCCTCAAGCTGAGTCTCAGTACCTTTTATGGTGCAGCCCCCACCTGCGTGTCTCCAACTCAGACTACTCTTTGCACCCACCTTCTTGGTGACAAAGTTGCCCTGTTCATCTGTGAATTGTTTCTCTATCACTTGCTCCCCTGGAATATTATGAAGCTCGTTCCCCTGGTATTGGAGAAAGGAGAAAAGAATCCAAGGTTGGCAAATGGGAATAAGAGCAGAGGAGGAGGAAATAAAAGAGCAGTGGTAGCGACAGACACATACAAGAAAGTCCTTCCAGCACCTCCAGGCAGGAAATCATGCTCAGCACTGACACAGGCACTCAGGGGCTCCCAGAGTGTGGGCGGTGCTTGGTGCTCGCTGGGAAAGCTGGAGACAGCATAGCCCTGGGCTCTCAGGAGCCTCTTAGACTTGACCCTTATGATGCCCTGGAGCAATGCCCCAGAGAAAGCACAACAGGGCTGAGACAGTGAATTCTCAGAGGAGGCCCCAGGAGCAGAGGCAAGGGAGCAACTAGGGCTACGCATTTACAACATCACAGCTACAGATAGCAGTCTTATGTGTAACTTGCACACACACCCACAGCTGGTTGGTGACACACACAGGACAAGAGCAGGCCTCCTATGCCCGCTTGGGGGCTGCGTGCACAATTCTGGTGCCTCGTGCCAGGTCTGACCCTTGGAGGCCCTCCGGTCCTTGAGCAACACATCTCCTGGCTCCAGGGCTGCTTTCCCACAGCCCAGCCCACACACAGCACAGCAGGGTCCCCTCCACCCAGGCCTCTGGTGCCCCAGCCTGGTGTTTACCTTCAAGAAGACCCTCCGCCGGACCACCCTGGTAGAGACAGTCTCCTCGTCGTCACTCAGGCCCTCGCCCTCCCCAAGCTCCTTGTCCAACTCCTGGTGGATGTGCTTCAGCACAAAGCATAGGGAGCCCTTGACTATGTGCATCACATTCTGACAGCTGACCAGGAAAAAGCCCAGCAACACCAGGCTGACCAGTAGCTGCGTGATGAAAGTCCACATCCTTGCCTCTGCTCACAGCCCAACAGTCCTGGAACCAGGGCCGCCAGGGGCTGGCCTCTGCAGGAAGCCCTCTCATTGCCCGCTTGTACTCCTGCATGCCCCTATGGCCCCGTCCATTCTGCCTGCTGTGTCTCCCTGGCTTCTCTCTGCCCCTCACTCTGCCTCTCCCCGGCAGGAGACCTAAGGGGCTATCTCTAGTTCTGTGGCAGCAGCAGGGCCTGAGTGCCCCTCCCGCCGCACACACAGTCCCGGCCTCTACCCTACTCTTGGTGACATCAGGCGCCTGTAATTTTAGCTTCCAAATCAGCTACAGGAGCTGTCCGACTAGGCTAGAAGGACGCTGGCAGGTGTTGTCCCTGGCCTGGAGACAATGTCAAAGTCACCATGGAGCAGGAGCAGGGGGGACAGCTCACTCAGATGGCCAGCTGCCTGTTTCTGTGGGAAATGGTAGGACTTCCACCCTGCTCTGTCAAACTTCTGGGCCAGGGGCTCTAGAAAACAAGAATTCTGAGAATGCAGTTACTCCTGTGTCTCCTCAGCTAGTGATCAGACCTATGTCCCTGGCAGAGGAGGCCTGAGACTTGCAAATACCCAGGAAACTGAAGGATGTGTTGTAAAAATAGCCCTGAGGGTGAGTGATTTGCTCAGGGCCAGACTCAGGCATTAGAGGCTCAGTCCCTTCCTTCACAGGGCAAAACCACCCCAGTGGGGACTCATGTGCCTATCTAGAGCCTATTCTTAAAGGCTCTTCCCTCCTCAAAGCCCCAGCAGTGGAAAGAATTTCACATTCTAAGTCAGGTTGCTTCTAAGTGGCAGAAAGAACACAGACCTGGGACACAGTGAACTGGGCCCACCAATCACTCCAAAGGGGCATGCCCCATACCTCAGTTTCTCTATCTGTGAAAGGGAGATGAGGTACCTCACCTACCCCTTCTTGAGAGTGTATCGGAATATGACCTCTACAAAGAGCAACACAAACCCACCATGTGGCCTACTCCAAAGGCACAGTGTGTGTGTTTGTGTGTGTGTGTGTGTGTGTGTGTGTGTGATCCCCACTATAATGTGGTCAAACCACGTGTCCACCCTGCCTCATGCCTTCAGTCATTTTATTTCTCATCGAGGACATCAGCAAAGAGGGTTGGAGCAAGTTGGCCAAGGGAAAGCGTAAAGGAGTGAGTGAGTTAGACCTCAAAGTCCTGCCAGGCCCTGTGCAGCCTTGTTCCACCTAGATTAGTTGGGAGAAAGAAAAGCCCTCAGCACAGGTACAGGAGCCCATCACAGGAGCAAAGCCTGGGGCCTCAGTGGGTTCTCAGTGGTGAGCGCTTACCTAGCATGCATGGAGGCCTGGGTTCCTTACCCCATACTGAAAAAAATCTAAACAAAATAGCTTACTGTCAGATATTTCAATCCAGGTTGTCAGCAGAATGGCCTGAGTTGTCCTTTTGGACTCACCACTAGGCATAGGTGGCCCGGCATCCCTATCTCTGTCATTGTTTTCAGAATCTGTGGAAACGCTGGTACACAGAAGCTTTATGGCCTCCAGCTGGCCTGTCATCCTTCTGACGACTGCCAGACCATCCAGCAGAGGCCCCATCTGGGGGTCCCCAGGCCAGGGGAACATGGAGGCTTGGTTTTCAGGCATGGTAGCCCTGTGTACTCTGCCTGGAAGAATGTGGAGCTAAGAACCAAGGCACCTGGACTCTGGCCCTGGCTTATCATGTGACTCTGGAAAAAGCCATCGGGCCTCAGTTTTCCCATTTACAATCAGAACAGTTAAGAAGCCCAACTCAGGGGTATTCTGGGCTATCCTACCTTCTGTCTCACCTCCCAGTCATCTTGCCAACAGCTGCCTGTAGAGAGGCTGCAGGAAAGAACATTCTTGACTCCCTCTCTGTCTTTGGGATTCAGAACTGATCCAGTTTGGATGCCCTGCATTTTAGTTCAAATGCTTGCTCCCACAAGGAGCAGGATGGGGTACCAAGAAAGAACCTGGGGCACTGGGTGGTCCACAGTTAAAATGCATAGTGCCTTTGTGTCCAGGTGCACACACCTGGCAGGGAGGTTTCTAAATAAAATCCTGCATCCTTCTTGACTGCTTTCAGCCAGCAGCTCAAGCCCTGGGGAGCCATCCTGAGCCAGGGCCCAGCTCAGAGAGGGGGGTGAAGGAGCGGAAAAAAGAAACAGGGAAGGAGAGGCCCAGGAGACATCTCCTGGATAAAGAAGAGGAGCAAAGAGCCAGAAAAGGCGCACAGCACCCGGGATGCTCTTGTTCAAAGTGCAGGTGCACAGAACGGCAGTGTGAATCTGAGAACACAGCAGTCATGTGGGCATGCATGCACTGTGGCAAGTGGGAGGGAGGCCCAGGAGACGTGACTGTGTGTGAGGGGGTAACTGCTGATCTGGGGAGGACAAGGTTGGCTCGCATGGATAAGGAGAGCAAAAAGGAGGACAGGGAGCACAGGAAAGACAGGAGGGTGGCAGGAGGGCGAAAAGGCGAGCTCAGCACAGCAGAGTACAGAGGAGGGCTGACTCCGCCACCACCTTGTGACCCAGAGATCACCCTTCTGGAGAGTGTTCCACTCTGCCTTGCTCCCAGCAAAAATGAAAGTGCCGAGGAGCCGGTGGCTTGTCTAGGACACTCAAGTCACAGTCAGCCTGGTGCCCAGGTCTCCCGGCTCTGGAGAGCTTCCTGAAACATGATGAATAAAAGACAGACCAAAATCATGGCTGTGAGGTCACTGGAGCTGTAAGTCAGAGACCACAAGACCCATTCTGCTCACTTCAGCCACCAAGATGCTGATGTGTAGGAATGGATGGCAGGGGCATTGGACAAGCCCTCCCTTCCCTTGGCAGACAGCAATGAGGCAGAAAGGGGACTGCTATGTTACAGCCTTACGGAGGTGAAGTCACCACTGCTGTTCTGAAAGACAGGAAATGCCTGGCACTGCCCAACTGCATGCAAACCCCATGCTGGCTTGAACACGTTGATACCTTGATACCTCAAGGGCTCTTACCTGTTCCGCATGCTGCAAGGTGCTCATGGCTGCCTGCACGCCCTCTTTTATGCCACGCTCTGGCCCTTGGATAGTGGGCAGTGTCATCTGGACTGAATGTGGGTCTTGCGTGGCCTCTTGCAGGTAGGAGGCAATGGAGCCTTCTAAGTCCCGGTCTTGTGGTCTAAGTCCAGGATGGGACACAGAGCCAGGGAGACAGAAAGGGCACTTGGTCATTTCTCGTTCTGCTTTCCCAGACAGTCCCTGCCCTGGGCCCTGGCTCATGGGGACACAGCTTGTCCTGTCCTCATCTCCACAGGGCTGGGACAGTATGAATAAAACACCTGACTTGCATCCCAATGAGGAGACACATAGTGCCCATCTGCCATCCAAGTGGAAAGACCATGGGCACCAGGCTACTGTGCTTTCCCTTCATGTGACCTGCTCCCCTCAGGCTCACTGCATGGCCTTCACCCCATTACTGGGCATCCTCAGATTGTGCCTCCCACTCATGTGGTGCCTGGATCACTCCCACTTAACAGGTGACCACTGCTCCTCCACACATGCCTTCCCTGAGTACTGTGTCTGCCTGCCCTGCCCCGGCCATTTCTTCTCAATGGCTTTTGCTGGTGCCTCCTAACTTCCTGCACTTCTGGAACAGATCTTGCTATCCACACCCATGGCCTAAGTGACTTCCTTCCATCCATCATTTTAGACTGTGCCTGGAACTCTTCATACCCAGATGCATAGTTGTGTCTTAGCCTCGAACTTTAGATATGTATGTTGATCACTTCTTGGCCTTTTGGCTAAGATCAAGTGTAGCTGTGTATGTCAACACCTCCTTCACATCTCTACTTCAGGTCTTAATAGGAGACAGCTTGACTGGGTCTGGGCATGTGACGATGTCCCCATGTCCCACCCCAGCCCGCTCCTCACAGCAGTCTTGAGTGAGGACAGGCCTGGTATCTTCCTCCCTGCCCCAGTGTGTTGTGTGTGTGTGTGTGTGTGTGTGTGTGTGTGTGTGTATACCTGGCACCCTCTTTGTCTCCTTACTCTGTCACATTCTGTGTTGTATTTGTTAGCAGATCTTCCTGGTTCCTGAGTGCAAGCTCTTACCACCTCTGTGCCGCTTGGTCCACACCACCAGCAAGTGTGGCCTCCTATTCATCATGCTAGGCTCTTCCCAAAGCAGTGGCCATGTCCCACTGCTTCTCTGCTCAAAACCTGCCCAGGAAATGCCACACTCCTTTGGGAACCTTGAAGCCTGGCATAGCTGACTCTGTGACCTCCTGGCCTCATCCTCTGCTCACCTTCCCAGAGGTGGATCTGTCCTGGGCATGCTTTTCTTCACACACGTGCACTAGCTGGGCACTACCCCTTCAAAGGGAAAGCATTTCCAAGGGGATTATGGGAAACGTGTCTTTTATTTCAATACAGTTTTAAAACAGGAACATTCATTGAGTGTTTCAATCACCATTTGTAAAGTGGTGTTGTATGTGAGTGAAACCTGTACACATCTCCCTTTGTGCTTTAGATAATGCATAGATGACCTGTAATAACAGACATAGAAGTGCTGTGTTGCTCATACAATAAACAGGAAAAGTCTATACATGTTTGGTACTGATAGAATTCTTCACATAACACAGTGGTTTTGATCCAGGGCTGATGGAATCTGTAGAAGTGGAACCCATGGATATGAAGGTACACCAAGCTTCAGATTTTATTTTTAGCTCATTAAGTTTATGTAGAACACGAGCTTCCTGCAGGCAGAGACTTGTCTCTGATTTTCCCACTGCCATCTTCTATCTCCAGGCATTTGTTAGAGGTGCCTGACACATCGTAGCTGCCCAGTGGACATAGTTCAGTAATCAAAATGCACCTGTTCACACTGGTTGGCTGACCAAGCTCATGGAGCCAGGAAGTGATACAACTCGGCCTAGAATTCAGGCCTTCTGTCTCCTGTCAGCAACTCTACATTTGCTGAACATGTATTGGAGGAAGGGTGCCATGGTCAGCATGTGGGAGGATGGCCAGTGTTCTACCTCCTGCCTTCGTAGACCCATCTGCCCAACACTCTCCTCACTGATCAAGGAACACAAATAAATCTCATTTCTGTTTTGGTGGCATGCTGGGGGGATTGCATCTAGGGCCTCTGCACTGAGCTACCTTCTTAGTTTTTAAAATTGCTATAGGGTCTCACTATGCAGCTCGGACCCATAGTGATCTTCCTGTTTTTCAACCTCCCTGCCACTGGGATTATAGGCATACACCACTATGCCCAGACTCTGTGACTGGCTAAACCTGGGGCTGGCTTGGCATGTGGTTCTGGGAATTGAACCAAGGTCCCTGTGTTGGTCTAAGCTTGCCTAAGCAGGTGCTTTAGTCCTCTAAGCTATCTCACCAGCTCCAGCTTTTGAAATTTTGAGACAAGAGTCTCACCAAGTTGCCTAGTCCGGCCGTGAACTGTGATCTTCCTGCCTCAGTCTCCCAGACAGCTGGATTACAGGCATGTGCCAGAATGCCTGGCTCAGATCCTATCTTTTAAATGACTTCTCTCACTATGAATAGATCCTGGAGAAGGTGTAGAACTGAGGGACACCAAGGTCAGGAAGAGGAAGTGAGAACAGCTTCACCTGGCCTAGTCCATTTTGAGCACTGTGCTGGCTATAGCCTTCTGAAAGTGTATGAACCATCTCTTTGCTTTAGGGAAAACCTGCCAAGTAAAGCAAGGTAGAGAAAGGGCCTTTCCTTCACTTGCCATGCCAGCCTGGGGAGACCAAACGACACCCAGCTCAAATCTGTCTCATCTTTCTTTACTACAGCATGGAGCATCCCACCTCTAAGCCCTTGTCTACTCTAGTACAGGGCTGCGGGCCCTCTGAGGACTGCTATCAGGGCAGGGGGAGCTCACAGGAACCTTAGGTCCTGGACTGCCAACCTTGCTCCCCCAGGCACAGTGCCTGATTTCACAGCCAGGCAGCTTAAAGAAGACAGTGCTATTTAACCCCCCAAAGCCCTGTCCTGCCCAGACAGACCCCAGCCTCTCTCTCAGTATGAAGACAAAGGGCACCATTACCAGCTCTGCCCATACAGGCCATGTAATTGTGTGTGCCATACTCCCTGGGCTCAGGTGTCTCCAGGTGTCTTGTACACAAGGCACACAGAGGAACCCACACCGCTGCAGCAGCGTCCCCAAATCTGGCCTCCCCAGGCGTCAGGGCCTGAGTGCTGCCCGTTGTCCCCTTGCCTCTCAGTCTCTCTCCTGCCAGCCACACCCAGGGAGCTGGCTTTTGCAGAGCACAGCTTGTTCTTGTGCATGCACGATGGCTTGGCGGGGGCCCAGGCAGCTGGTGCCACACATTTCAGACACAGAAGCCCCTCAGCATCTTCTCTGCACTCTTACCCACTGTTCTGCACTCACAGCTGCAGTCCAGCCCTTACCTGTCCTGGTGGCTCTCCAGCACCCGACTCTCGTAGGGCGAGTCTGTGGCTCGGGCTTGTGCCCTCTGCTGGCCTGCAACAAGAGACACTTCATTCTCTGAGTCCTGCCCTGCACCTGCCGAGTCCTCCTGCCTCTTCTCTTCTGACCTCTGACCTTCCTCCTGGCCAAGCAAATCAGCATGGCCATTTGTGGCATCTGAATCCACTGTGTCGTCCTCCACAAGGTCCAGAGAGCCGAGCTCAGGGCCCCGTGATTCCTCTGACAGCGCCCCCTCCAACTTCCACTCTTGTGTGGCGTCAGAGTCCTCGGCCTTGCTGCACTCCAGAGAGGAGTCCTCAGCAGTGACCAGAGAGGGTGTGAGGCCCGCGGACCACACCTGCATGTCAGACATCTCCAGCATGGCGTCATGCTCCGTGGGGGCCAGTGGGATGGCGTCTATGACGGCCACCTCGTTCCAGTACTGGTCCGCGCGCAGCGGAGAGGGAAGCGCGTAGTGCAGGGAGGCAGGGGACAGCAGCTCGTCCTGTAGCGAGGAGTAACCTGGATGGGCAGACAGAGGGCAACATGCTCCAGAAGCGATTTTGGTCACACTCACTCACGTGCAAATCCTCGCGCACACACACACAGGCACGGCCACAGAAATGCATGCACATTCGGGCAGGGGCGTTGGTTCCAAGCCCAATGCTCAGGCCTTGTGGCTGCTGCCCAGGATACCAGGCAAGAGAAACAAGGCTCTGAGGTGGGTAGGGGCAGCCAGGGCATGAGGGCGGAGAGATGGGCGCCTTCGCTGGATGGCAAAGAGAAGAAACTAGAATCTTTCTTATCCAGCTCAGAGCGCCAGATAAAGAAGGCTTTATCCAAAGGACTTGTACTCTGATCAGGCCGATCAGATGGAAGCCCCACTTCTCCATGGGCAGGAGGAAATGTTGCTCTTTCTTTGCTCAAAACTTCACTTTAGCACAGTCTTTAGGGTCCTTTTAGGAATGTACCTTGACAGGAGGAGTACAGCCCCCCCGGGACTAGGGTCAGTAACCAGGCTGCCCTGGAGGGGTCTAATGGGGTACACTGAACAGCCACAGACCTCAGTGCGGTGGTCAAATGGGAAACAGGCTTCTGGTTTGGCAGGAAGTGACTTTTCCTCAAGTTGCATATTGGTTCCAGAAACTGAATGATCTACAGTGGCACAGGTGAGGGTTCTAGGGTTCAAAAATGGGGGCAAGGTCAGAGGGCACAATGAGCACAGGCACATCTGCCCGCAGCTGCTTGTCCACAGGCTCGAGCTCTGCAGCCCCACTCTGGGTCAGCAGTGACTTGCTGGGATCAGGCATGCAGTGACCAGCTCGTACATCTGTTCCCTGAGGCCTGGCTTGGGTGTGCATCCCTGCCCATGCTCTGGTGCCTGTGGTCCTGGCTCCCTGGTGTTCTGAATGACTGTGGGTTGGAGGGACTGGAATCTGCCATGGACATCAGTGCTCCATCGGTTCCCACTCAGAGCAGGTGCTGATTGGTGGTTGGGAGACAGACTACAAGACAAGGGTCTCTCTTCTGCATAGCTTATCTGAGGAGCAGACACATGCCTCCCAAAGGTGGTCACTGGGGTGGGCCAGGCTGCCTGCGGTCTCTAGGGACCTTCTTCTTGCCAAAATGCCCTCGGTCTGGTGTCAGTCTCTTCAACCTGTAGGTCACCCTGCCTGTGGCAAGGAGGCCTCCGCTGTCCCTGGCTAAATCCCTTGCTTTCAGCCCTGGGCCCCAGCAGGGCCTGCTCACCCATCACCCCCACTTCTGATAGCACCATCTAACCAGCCTCAGTCACCTACTTGCTCACCCAGAAAACTTTCACTGGCGTCCAAGTCCATGCCAGGCACTGTGCTGAAAGGTTGGTTATTGCAAACACAAACACAGTACACACACAGATACAGATCTCCTTATCCTTCTTTATGTTTTCTTTCCAACTACAGCTCATGGTCCCCCACCACACTTGAACTATGCCCCTCACTGGCTGGTTCACAGCTAGGTACCCACTTTCCTTGGGGGCTACCAGAGAGCTCTCAGGATTTGTGTGGGGACACAGCAGCCATGACAGAGGACTTCTCTTGTGAGGGGCAGCCCTAGCTGACACCTACTGGGGTGCCCAGTGTGCCAGGATCCAGCCATGTGCCCCCACAGGCCCACTCTCTCCAGCCTTCCCAGCAGCATGGTCTTCCTGACTGACTTCCAGCCTCTGGATAACTAACTTATTTGTAATGGTCCCCAACTGGCAGCAACCTAAGTGCTCATGAGCAAGGAAACATACACACGCTCTGGCACATCCCTGTAGCAGGACACAGCTCAGGACAAATAGGATCCACTGATACATGCAACAGCACAAACGAAGCCCAAATAATCATGCTGAGTGAAAAGAGCTGGACAAAAATGAGCACAGATTCTGATTCTGTTTATGTAAAATTCTAAGGGTGTGGCTAGGGGGTCAGCTGCACAGCGGGAGCGGCTCATGGAAGCCCCTTCCAGTTCTGGCCAGATTAGGAGAAGGGAGGAGGAGGGAGGCAAAAGGGCTGGGCCCAGTCCCACCACAAGGTTTACTCCAAGTCACCACGTGTGAAGGTGTAACCCGAGAAAGCAGGAAACTATGGCAATGGTGTTCCTACCTCCCCAGAAACACAGACAGCAGAAGGGTGGAGTCCTGTGTCTGCCATAGCTGGTCTCATTCTTGCAAGCATTATCCTAGCTCCATCACTTGAGAATCCATTTAGTGCAAAATATATCCAACATGTTGTTTTTAATTTTCACAACACTCCTACAAGGAAGTAATGCTATTCCTTCTTTTTAGATTAGAAGCTAGAAGTTTAACCACTTGTTTAAGGTTACACAGCAAGTGCCAAAGCATTACATGGAAATGTCTTTCTACTAGAGTTGGCTACTGTGTTTTTTGGTTTTTTTTTTTTTTTGCGGAACTGGGGGTTGAACTCAGGCCCTTGCACTTGCCAGAGAAGCGCTTATTCCACTGAGCCATCTCCCCAGCCCACTGATGTTTTAAAAATAGTTTTACTGAGGTGTAGCTGAATACAATAAGTAAACGGATTTGAAGTAGATAATTTGGTAAGTCCCAAAACATGTGACCCACGAACTAGTCACCACAATGCAGAGAGGCCACCCATCATCCAAAAGCCTTCCTCATGCTTCCTTGGCACCTCTCCCTCCCTCTGTCTACCCACCCCAAATCACTCCTGCTGGGCAGCTGCCAGCCTGCTCTTGGTCCCTGCTTACTAGTCTGTAGCTCTGTGCAGTGGCCGTGTGGTGGCCGCTGAGATTCGTCTGAGGCTTGATTACTGCTAAACGAGAAGTGCTCATTTGTTTGCCTTCCTAGACATATGTGTAAACAGAATCATGTGACCTGTACTCTCTTTCAGCCTGCTTCTTTCATTCAGCATGATTGCTGGGGCTTCATCCTTGCTGTTGCCTGTATCAGTGACTTACATTTGTCCTGAGCCAACCTGGATGGTGGATGGATGGATAGAATTTGTGTATCTATTTACCTGCCGATGGACATTTGGGTGCTGCCAGTTTGGGGCCATTATAAATAAAGTTGCTAGTCTGCATGGACACATGCTTTCCTCTCCCTTGGTAAATACCTAGGTGTGGAATGGCTGGGTCATATGGGAGGTATATGTTTAACTTTTTAAGAAAGGACTGAAGTGTATGTTTATTCTAAGTGGTTGTACCATTTCACATTCTCACTAGTACTGCATGAAAATTTCTAGTTCCCTCATATCCTCGCTAACACTTGGTATAGTCAGTCTTTTTAATTTTAGTCTTTCTTATAGGTCTGTAGTAGTATCTCCTTGTAGTTTTAATTTCTATTTCCCCAATAACTAATGATATTGACCACATTCCTACGTACCATATCTATATACTCTGGGTTAAATGTTCACATATTTTGCCTATTCTAAAATTTGGGGTTGTTTTCTTATTGCATCACAAGGATTTTTTATTTTCTACATACATCTTTATCAGATGCCAGTTGCTTATATTTTATTGCAACCTGTAGTTTGTTTTTTCATTTCTTAGCAATGTCTTTTGAAGAGCAGAAGTCTTTCCTTTTGATGAAGTTCAATTTGTTAATTTATGGGTTGTGCTTTTGGTGTTAGTGTTATATTTAATAATCTTTTTCTTATCCAAGATTTATAAATTTTATTCATATTTTCTTGTAGAAGTGTCAGTGTTAGATTTTATATGTAATCTATGATCTTAATTTTTTTCATGTAGTGCAAAGAATGCGTTCAAGTTCCTTTTTTTGCATAAATGTTCATGAGGGATATTGGCATGTAGTTTTCTATATCCTTTTCTTTCCTTCTTTTTTTGTATTTAAATATTTGGTAGAATTCACTAGTAAAGAAGCCATGTGAGCTTGGACTTTTATTCATGGGAATGCTATAAACTGCAAATTTAATTTTTAATTTATATAAGGCTATTCAGTTAATCATTTATTCCTAAGTAATTTTTGATAGTTTGTGACTTTTAAATAATTTATTAATTTCATTTAAGTTCTCAAATTTATTAGGATAAAATTATCATAATATTCCTTGATCACCCTCCTCATGGACTCTATACTGATGTTCCCTCTTGTATTTTTGACACTCACCATTTTTGTCCTCTCTTTTTTCTTATCAGTCTGGCTGGAGGGTGTACCAATTTTAGTAATCTTTTCAAAGTGTTGGTTTTTGTTCTCATTCTCCAGGGTTCTTCTGTTTTATTAATTTTCACTCTGGTCTGCATTACTTCCTTTCTTCTATTTACTTCTTTGTGTGTGTGTGTGTGTGTGGGTGGGCACCAGGAATCAAACTCATGACCTCACACTTGCCAGACACTGTGCTGCTGAGCTATATCCTCAGCCTAATTTCTATTTACTTCTATTTCTTTATTTCCTTTCTTTTATTTTCTATTTCCTTATTTCTATTCTATGTATTTCTTTCAAATATTTCTTTATTTCCTGGGGGGCCTGCCCATTAGCTCTGTTGTTTAAATGCCTGCTTAAGCAAAGCAGTCAGGCTCAGGATACTGTGGTCCAATCCCCGGATCCTCATCCTTACCAGACCTGCCCTTAAGGCATCCTGAGCCAGACCAAAAAAAAAAAAAAAAAAAAAAAAAAAAATCTTTCTATTTCTTTATTTCCTTCCCTACTTCTTTTTATTTTCTTTTTTCATTTGCTTTTTGTCTTCAATTTTTTGAAGGTGGAAGGTAAAGTCATTAGTCAGAGAAATTTTTTCTCTTCTCATATAGACATTTTGTGCTTTGCATTTTCCCCTAAGTATTTTTTTTTTAGCATACTATGAATTTTGATATATGGTATTTTTAATTTCACTCAGTTCAAAATATTTTACTCAGTTTGAATTATTTTGGCCTTCATGTTGATATTGTTCTTTTCTTACTCTTCAAAAAAAATTGCAGTTGTTTGGGATGGAACTGAAAGTGTCATACTCTGCCACTAAGCCATTTCCCTTCCCTTGTTCTTTTCATTGTTAAAGAAGTAGTCTACTTTAATT